CTTGCACCCGACCGTCTTGCGAGCTGGTACATTGTCAACCAAGTTCCAAACTTGATTGACATACATGGACTGAATCTCACTGTCCATTGCCTCTTTCCATTTTGCAGAATCGGAGCCCGCCATGGCTTCCTTGTAGTTGTTAGGTTCATCCAAATTTATCAGTGTACTATCACTGATAAACATATCACCTTCAACAGTTATATCGAAACCATACAACACAGGTGGAACACTAACTCTACTGGAACGTCTTAGAGGTAAGGACTCGTCAACTGGTTCAACATGAATCTCTTCCTCAAGTTGAGCGCTAGTGTTAGAGGTTCCTTCATCGCTTGACTCTTGAAGCTCTTCAAGATCAATTTACTTCCCATTGTCCTCTTGGCATATGAGTTCTCTTTTGCGGAAAACCCCTCTCCTTGCTACGAAGACCACATTGTCACTAGGTCTGTAGAAAATATATCCAAAGGATTTCTGTGGGTAGCCGATGAAAATACACCGCTCACTGTGAGGTTCTAGCTTGTCGTGCGTCTCTCGTCTTACGAAAGCCTCGTAACCCCAAATCTTGATATGTGCCAACGAGGGAACCTTCCCTATCCACATCTCGTGAGGTGTTTTGGCAACCTTCTTAGTTGGTACTAGATAAAGGATATGGGCGGCAGTCTCTAAGGCATACCCCTAAAATGAGATAGGTAACGAAGCTCGACTCATCATGGAACGAACCATGTCCCACAAGGTTCGATTGCGCCTATCAGCCACACCATTGAGTTGCGGTGTCCTAGGCGGCGTCAATTGTGAAACAATTCCACATTCCTTAAGATAGTTGTGGAACTCGATACTAAGATACTCACCACCCCTATCGGATCTGAGCATCTTTATCTTTCTGCCGAATTGATTCTCCACTTCTTGCTTAAACTCTTTGAACTTTTCAAAGGTTTCCGATTTGTGCTTGATTAAGTAGATATACCCATATTTGCTATAATCATCGGTAAAAGTCACATAGAAGCGGTTAGCATCCCTTGTGGTGGATCTAAAGGGCCCACACACATTTGTGTGTATGAGATCCAACAATCCCTCACCTCTTTCACAAGTACCAGTGAAAGGTGATTTAGTCATCTTTCCAAGTAAACAAGATTCGCACGTATCATCTGACTTTAGGTCAAATGACTCCATGACTCCATCCTTTTGGAGTTGGGCTATGTGCTTCTTGTTGACATGTCCAAGACGACAATGCCATAAGCATTCCTTGTCTAAGCCATTAGATGAATCGATATGCAACACATTATTTCCTATGTTGTCTACAACCATCACAGTTTCATATACACCATTACAAGGCAATGCTTCAAAATATAAAGTACAATTATAGAAAGCATTAATAGAACCAACTTCATTATTAAATGAAAATCTAAAACCTTGTCTGTACAAACCATGAAAATAAATAATATTCCTCGTCATCCATGACGAGTAGCAACAATCATTCAAGTCTAATCCTAACCCACTACTAAGCACTAAAGAGTAAATCCTGATCTTGGTGACAAGCGACGATTTCCTATTCCCCATTATCAGGTTCATCTTCGCATGCTCCACATGCCTACTTCTTCTTAGCCCCTGCAAATTAGAACAAATGTGAAAACCACATCCTGTATCAACGACCCAAGAACTAGCATGTGATGAGTTATTAGATTGAATAGTATAAATACCTGTGAAAGAGGGCTTTATCTTCCCATCCTTGATGTCCTGCAAGTATTTCAGACAGCTTCGTTTCCAATGCCCATTGTCGTTACAGTAGAAGCACGTTGCCTCTTTAGGATCGAATGAGGGAGTGGCAGAACCGGCTTTACCTTTGGATCCATTTGAAGAGGATCCATCATGGGACTTTCCCTTGTGGATCTTATAGGGAGCTTTCCTCTTTTTCCATTTACCATGTCCTATAGCGAGGACGAGGGCAGCAGCAGTAGGGTGGACTCGACAGCTTTGCCTTTTAGTCCACTTTCAGCAGTTCTCAACAAACCTTGAAGTTTGCTCAAGGTGACTTCCTCCTTGTTCATATGATAAGTTATCTTGAACTGATCATAACAAGGAGGTAAAGAGTGGAGTATAATATCAATCGCCAACTCTTCGTCAAAGTTGACATTCAACTTGAGCAACCGATCCACATACCTTTGCATCCTTTGCAAGTGGCTCGTGATGGACTCTCCATCTTTCATCTTGGTTGTTATCAGCAAGGCGACAATCTTGTACCTTTCCTGAAGCGCGCTTTGATGGTACTTTTCCATCAAATCTTGGCACATGTCATAAGGTTAGATGTCCTCGTAGAATTGTTGCAGCTCAGGAGTCATAGTGGCTACCATTATACACGACACCTTTGCCGCGTCTTTTTCGTGAGCCCTATACTCATCTATTTGTTCAGCAGAAGCTTTGGTTTCATCTATCTCTTTGAGTTCTTTGTTGTGGACATATTCTTTCTCCTCGTATCACAAGGCCATACAAATGCTGCGAATCCAATCATTAAAATAAGATCCATCGAAGGTGACCCTGCCACAAATGTTCAAAAGAGAAAAGGAGCTCGAGGAGTTGGAGTTCGAGCCAGAAGCGTTGTTTGAGTCAGACATCTGAAAAAGAAAAGGAACAAAGTTTTGATTAGATAAAGAATCCTTAATATAACACCCAAATGAAATATTAAGGCTAGGACCCAACACAATAATTCACAATTCGGAAGAGGGATTTCGTAATCCAATTGCAAATTATTTGAAGGTAGGTAAATGACGATTTACCAATTCCACCACGAAAAACGAAATGAAGAATTAGGTTTTAAATGAAATGAAATTCATAGATTATTTTGAGATTCATTGAACTTTTCAATGGCAAGTTTAATCTCGATTATTCCCTTCAAGTTTGTGACTGGGATACCGAGGATCACAAACAAGGTGTTAATAACCATGCAAAGTAGTTTGGCACTCTCGATGTCAGTTACCACCTAATCAATGTGCCGGTTAACCACACACGCTCCATTGATCTATGGTAATTCTTGAGCTACCCTTTGCCACCCTTGTTAGTCCAAGTTAGTGTGCCGGTTAACCACACACGCTCCACTAACGACTTGACAAGGTGCAAAGTGCAATTTCATGGACTAGCATCTTTTTCACATTTTCCTAAAGTAACTAAGATTAGGAATTTATAAAAACATTTAGTTACTTTATAATATTCATTATAATTATTAATGAGGAATAAATGTCATATCCTACCCGTTCGGCGAACGACCCTCCACTAGTCAAGAGTGCGGTGGGTAAGAGTGGATACCCAACGGCGGTCATTTTATAGGCCACTTCCTTAAACAATCATTATAGACCAACTTCGTGAATGTGGCCTACTAACGGTAAGACTTACTTATCTTATACATATATATACATATTAATCTTTTAATATTATAATAGTATAAGGGTTGTATTTTAAACTTTTAAAACACTAGGGTTTTAGAATTTAATATTTCAAAATTAAAACTTTTAATCAAATTTTAAATTCCAAAACTTGAGGGCAAATTTTGAAACTTTTAAAAACTTCTAGATCAAATATTTAAACTAATCACATAATTTTGGACATTATCTTAAATTTTGACCATTATCTTTTAATTAGATGAGGATATTCATTACCATAACAGAAAATTCAAATTTTAGCAGTTAAAACAATTGAAGGTAATGATCCTTATCTAATTTAGGATTGAAATCCGATAAATCTGCTAACTGACGAACCAACTCGTCGAGTCAGGGCATGGACTCATCGAGTTGGTCTAACTCGTCGAGTCCATCTTTGGACTCGTCGAGTTCATCAGGCAGTGAAAAAAAAAACGATTTTGTTTCAGCTTTGGCAAAACACAATAGCATCAAATATAATAGAAAAACACCCTAAGCTTGGATACCACTGATGGGTTTTGAGCATTACAACATTCCTATGGTGCACATGCAACCCTAATTGCTTTGGATCTAGGTTTTTCTCAAGTTATACATGCAAATTAATTTTCCAAAGCAAGAACACTAATCTAGCATAGATGAAAACCGAAATCTAATCATATTAAGGTTTAGATGAATACCTTTCTTGTTGATTGCTTGATCTTGACCTTCAAGAGCTTAGTGCCTCAATTGATGCACCTCTAATGGAGTCACAAACACCATTTAGAAATGGATGAACAAGAGAGAGAGGAGGAGGCTACAAAATTCGACCAGGGTTTCTTCTAGGGAATCAAGTGGTCGATTTTAGGAGCCTTGGGGTTCCTTTTATAGTTGAGGCTGCTAGGGTTTTCAACTGGAAACCCTAATTCCATTGCTTAGGCCCTAAGCAATCCACAGACCCCCATATGATAGGCATTGGATCGAAAACTCTATGGGATTCCTATAGATTTTCGTCCACCCTTTATCAATAGGGTCCATTAGCCCAAACTATAACTATTACTGATTTACATAATCAGTCCCTGTTCTTTTAAGCAGTCTCTTTTGATCATTAAATTAATTCCAAATTAATTTCTGACCAATACTAATTAAATAATATGATTTCTTAATTAATATATTATTCTTATAATATATTAATAAATCATTAAATAACCTCTTTTTCTAAAACTCATCCTATCAAATTGTTATGGTGAAGGCAACCCAAAAGGACCATGTTACTATCGAGTCAAGTACATACCAATTATAGTGATGGGCTTAGACACTTAATCCAACAAGACAGGGCGTTCGAAAAGAAGATAAGATGAAACGTGGAGGTATATATGGACGATATGGTCATCAGAGCAAAGAAGACGCAAGATTCCTAAGAGACGTATGAGAAACAATGTTTGGTTGAGGGAGGCGAACATGAAACTCAATCCGAAGAAGTGTGTATTTGGGGTGCAGAAGGGAAATTTTTTGGGACACATTGTCTCCCCCGAATGAATCAAAGCTAGTCCGAACAAGGTAAAAACACTTTTGGATTTAAAAACGCCTCGTTCAGTAAAAGATGTGCAGAGTTTGAACATGAAATTAGCAGCGTTGGGAAGGTTTTTAGCGAAGTCGGCAGAAAAATCACTCCTGTTTTATCAAGTAGTTAAGAGTCAGGTCGGAAAGAACGGTGTAGCATGGTCGAAGGAAGCAGGAGAGACTCTCGTGAAACTTAAGGAACACTTAAGAAAGTTACCTAATTTGGCGAGCCCAATACCAAATGAGCCTTTGGTAATATATCTTTCCACTAGTCAGGAAGCGATTAGTGTTGTTTTGGTTGCAGAAAGGGAGAAAAAGCAAGTGCCAGTCTACTTTGTCATTAAAGTATTGTAGGGTGCCGAACTCAACTATTCGTTGGTTGAGAAGTTGATACTTTCTTTGATCTATATAGCGAGAAGGCTACAGAGATACTTCCAAGCTCACCCGATAACAGTGTTGTCTGATCAGCTTGTTCGATAAATTCTGACACAGCCGGAGAGGTCTGGACGAATGACGAAGTTGGCCATTGAATTATAAGAGTATATTATCGTTTATAAACCAAGGATGAGTATCAAGGCTTAAGCATTGGCTGATTTCCTAACAGAGATACCATAGGAAAAGGAGAAGACGAAAGTTTACGACGTCAATGCATCTGAAGCAGGGTCGGAGGCTATGAAAAAAGTGGTTAAAGACGAACATTGGACGTTACATATAGACAGAGTCTCGACTATGATGGTTCAGGAGCAGGAGTCGTGTTGGAAAGCCCAATTGGAGAGCGATTTACTTATGCTTTACGGTTCAATTTCAAGTGTTCTAATAATGAAGCTGAGTATGAGGCGCTCTTAGTTGGGTTGCAGTTAGCAATGAGCATAGATATCACGAAAATAAAAGCATATGGTGATTCTATGTTGGTGGTAAATCAAGTTAACGGTTTGTATGAAGCTAAGGATGAACACATCAAGAAGTACCTGGCGAAGGTAGAGGAAGCAATTAAAAAATTCGACGAGTTCCAGATAGTTCGAGTTCCGAGGTCGAAAAACAAAGAAGCTAACACACTTAGCAAACTAACATCGGTGGTTTATCATCATCTATCGAAACGACTTTTAGTTGAGATACTATCAAAGAAAAGTATTGAAGAAAAAGTAGAACAATTGTGGGAGCTGGAAGAGGAAGACAGGTCCTGGATAGTTCCATACATCCAATATTTGCAAAAAGGTTGCTTACCCTCACGTGAAAAAGAGGCACAGAAAGTAAGAGTCAATGTCGCGAATTACATCATGTATTCAGGTCGTTTATATCAGAAAGGTTATTCGATTCCTTGGCTTAAGTGCTTAGGAAAAAAGGAAGCTCATCAAGAAGTACCCGACGAAGGTAAAGGAAGCAATTAAAAAATTCGACGAGTTCTAGATAGTTCGAGTTCCGAGGTCGAAAAACAATGAAGCTGATGCACTTAGCAAACTAACATCGGTGGTTTATCATCATCTATCGAAAAGAGTTTTAGTTGAGATACTGTCAGAGAGAAGCATCGAAGAAAAGTAGAACAAGTTTGGGAGCCGGAAAAGGAAGACATATCCTGGATAGTTCCATACATCCAATATTTGCAAAAAGGCTGCTTACCCTCATGTGAAAAAGAGACACGAAAAGTCAGAATTAATGCCGCGAATTACACCATGTATTAAGGTCGTTTATATCAGAAAGGTTATTCGATTCCTTGGCTTAAGTGCTTAGGAAAAAAGGAAGTTGATTTGGTTATACGAGATCTCCATGTAGGAGATTATGGGTCACATACAGGAACAAGGTCGATGGTGCAAAAATCCTCCGTGCAGGATATTTTTGGCCAACAATGACGATGGACACGAACGAAGTGGTCCGAAAGTGCCACAACTGTCAAATGCATTCTGACGTACCAAGTTTGCCATCGGCAATAATGACGAGCAAGACGAGCCCTTGGCCTTTTCTACAATGGGGCATTGACATAGTAGGTCCGTTCCTAGAAGCTCCCGGAAGACTCAAATTCTTGATAGTAGCAGTCGATTATTTCACCAAATGGGTAGAAGCAGAGGCAGTAGCAGTCATCACCGAAAAGAAGGTCATCAGCTTCGTCTGGAAGCAGATCGTATGCTGATTCGATTTGCCACAAGTTATCATCAGTACAACGGAAAACAGTTTGCTGAAAACCCATTTAAAAAATGGTGCCGAGACGAGGGTATTAAGCAAAATTTCACGTCGGTAGCACATCCTCATGCAAATGGAACAGGTGGAGGTAACTAACAGGACCATAGTGAAGGGAATCAAAAAGAGGTTAGGAAAGCTGTAAGGGAGTTGGGTAGATGAACTTCAACACGTTTTGTGGTCTTATCGAACAACGATTCGGAACCCTAGGAAGGAGAAGCCGTTCAGTTTTGTATACGGGTCTGAAGCTATGATCCCGATAGAAGTTAGTGTTCGAAACACCCGAACATCGAATCCTTGCATGAATTTGAACAATGCATATCTACGATTTAACCTTGATCAGCCGGAAGAAAAGCGGGCCAGCCATAAGTCAGGCCGTATATAATGAGTATTTTAGTTATTTAAATTAGGTTGAACACTTGATATTTAACATAAAAACTACTGTTCAAATAAAATACAAAGTTGCCTTAGAACTAGGCATTTTACGAACTATAGTAATAACCATTTATTGAGTTTTGTCTTTATTTTGTAATAAAATATAAGGTCATTTTCTCTGTTGTCGATTCAAAATTGAAAGATTTGTGTCTTTGTGAAACATAATTTGTTTTCACTTTTCATCAACTAGCCAACTACCACTTCTTCAGTGCCATATTATCTTGAGAGGCAGTAGAGTAGAGCAGCTGAGTGGCTCAAAAAAATCTCAACTTTTTTGATTCTTTTCGGAATTAAGATTTTGAAACCTTAAATCCCTCGAATATTTTATTTCATAGATACCCATTTTATAATCTTGGAAAACGCAGTCAGTAATCCCCATCCCAGATACTGGATTCTCGTTCAGGTTCTTCCTCTAACTCTCTGTTTAATCTTGCACATTGACGAACAAATCTTGGTAGTTTTATTTTACAAGAGCGAACAATTAGGTTTCTTGATTGTGTGTTGATTTGTAGCTTCTGATTCAATGATGAAAACTGGACCTTCAAAATTGGAACTAGGGTTAGATATCGAGAATGTAGAAAAAGAATCAAGAACTTCAACTATATCCCATAAAAGTTACCATTCAATTTGGCATTCTTTACAAATTCGACATTTTCCACCCAAAGTGGTGTGAGATGATTAGGTCAACTCTAACTTAGATTCTTGATGCATTGGTTATAAAGATAAAGATATTTTTTTGTGTTTGAATTGTGCGTTTAAACAAATTATTGCAATTTGAAGTCGTAATAAGTAGTTTTAAGTAATCGGGTAAACGGATTATGATTATGAGTCTTTCTTTGACTTTTTGATTATTTGATCAAGTAGAAGTTGCACCAAATCTAACTATTATGATAAATGTACAACAAATATCTAACCAATTATCCGATTCTCATTATTCAAATCGCAATAATTCATTTTCCAGAGTCAAAAAAAGTTGAATTTTGTTCACCAAATCCCTTATTACAAACATAGGCACATAAAAGTCGATTTTGAAAACACGTTTCCTAAAATAAAAATTAACAGAAAACACATTTTGTTTACATACAAGTTCAACAAATAAAACCAATTCATACATTCTTTGATCCTACAAACAGTTTAAGCTAAAAGAGATGGGAGGGGCAATTAAGTCTTTTATCGAAAAGGCATTGCCTTTTGCTGCCATGGTGATGGTAGAATGTGGGGAGGTTGGGATGATTACATTAGGAAAAGCAGCCATGAATGATGGACTAAGCAGTTTTGTGTATGTTGTTTACTATAATGCCCTTGGCTCCATTATTCTTCTTCCTGGTTTCATCCTCCACATCTGCAGGTTTGTGGTTTATTACCCTCATCATGTACTCCAAATCTTTCATATTCTTATATTCATATTTATGCTGCATTTGTTAATGGTGAGGGCATTCTTGTCTTTTACACAAAGTGGGTGCTATCCTACCTTGTTCCTAAGTGGGTCCTACCTTCTTATATTCATATTTAGGCTGCATTTGTTATGTAAGGGCATTTTTGTCTTTTGCCCAAAATGGGTCCTATCCTACCTTGTTCCAAAGTGGATCCTACCTTCTTATATTCATACTTAGGTTGCATTTGTTAATGGTGAGGGCATTCTTGTCTTTTGCACAAAGGCTGCATTAGTTAAGGGTGAGGCCTGAGGGCATTCTTGTCTTTTGGACAAAGTGGGTCCTATCCTACCTTGTTCCCACCTTTTTGAGTTGGACAAAAAAGTGTAGCTTTTGACTTTTTGTCCCATTGATTCAGTCTCACTTCCAGTCTAATGCATGTCAAACACAGTACAAGACTGTTTATTCTGTCATGTCATATCATGTCATGTCATGTTCTACATAACATATTAACTTTGATTTTTTTTTCTTTTGTTTTTGAAGAAATAATCGACCTCCTCTCACATTATCGATCCTTTGCAAACTATTTGGGCTTGGATTTTTAGGGTAATGATTGCATTTGGGATCCTTTTACTATCTTGTTAATTAGGATTATTTTTATTTAATAATTATATGTTATGGGTGTAGGATTTGTCTTCTTCAGGTATCTGCATATACGGGTATCAATTATAGTTCTCCAACTCTAGCAGCTGCATTGGGAAACTTGATTCCTGCCTTTACTTTCCTTCTTGCAGTAATCTTTAGGTACATTTCATTATTTTGGATAAATAAAAATATTTGAGAAAATGACAATATATTTGAGGACATGAAAGGAAAAAATAAATTTGGGGAAATTTTTAATAAGGTAGGATGACTTTCTCTATTAAGTTGTTCTTTCTGCATTAAGTCGAAAAAGAAACACATGTATATAGCTTACCGGATTAAGTCGATTAAGTAAAAGGAAACAACATATAAGTAAAGTATTATGCTATTTATGGCAAGTTAAACCGAATTTCAAAATTTAATATATGTTTGAAGGAAATCTCGTATTTTACATGATATACATTTAAAATGGAGTATAATAAAAATAATGGGAAATCTCCTATAAAGTCCCTACATTTTGACCTCATATTCAATTAAGTTCCAATATTTATTTATTTATTTTTCTGATTAAGTGTCGAATACCAGTTAAGTTGTTCAATTATGGACAATTTTTTAGATTAGCCGGTTTCACGCTTAGAAATCTCCTATAAAGTCCCTATATTTTGACCTCATATTCAATTAAGTCGGTATTCAGGACTTAATCAGAAAAAAATAATAATACAGGGACTTAATTGAATATGAGGTCAAAATGTAGGGACTTTATAGGAGATTTCTCTAAAAAAATCAAGTAAATTAGCGAAAAGTTTCATAGAACATGAGGTCAAAGGTAAGAAATTGGAATCTATATTCCTAATGTTGTAATAGGAAGAACCGAAAGTAGGATGCCATAATAAACAATTCAACTAAAATACATCGCTATATATATATATATATATATATATATATATATATATATATATTTATTTACAATGTTTTACGTATAGATTGGAAAAATTCGATGTAAACAAACCAACAAGCCGAGCAAAAGCATTAGGCACAATCGTGGCTATAACCGGAGCATTCGTAATGACATTTTATCAAGGTCCAACATTATTCAAGACGATTATTAATCATCATAATAATTCAAATGAAAATTTACTTTCTTCACAAAAATCAAAATGGATACTTGGGGGTTTCCTTATTGCAATCACAAGCCTTTGTTCTTCATCATGGAATGTTTTTCAGGTAAATTTTTATAAATTCCCGCTTGTTTTTAGGCTTTATTTACTTGGTATCTTTAAAAAATTGTTTAATTTGTTATGTAGACTGCAACGGTGAAAGAATTCCCCGATGAAGTGATAGTTGTTTTCCTCTTTTGTTGCTTTGGGACAATTCAAACCGCGTTTTTTACAGTTATTTTAGAACGAAATACAGACGTTTGGATTCTTGACACCCGCACCGAGTTTGTATCTATTGTTTTCGCGGTAAGTCTACAAGAGCTAAATGCAAGAAATGACAATGTACTTTTGTTTATTTATTATGTCAAATCAATAAAAAAAGCAATCTTTAAAAATATTCAACAATGTATAAGTCTTTTTTTTTTTTTTGATAATAAACATTTAGCCCCATCTCTTTGAAATGTTTTATAAAACCTCCTCCTATATTTTTTTAAGCAAACGTCATATTTCGTATTGGTTTTATTTTTATTAAGTATGTAGCTAAGAAGATTTAAATCGATAGAAATTTTATAATTTTGATTTGCATGTTTAATAAATTAGATTAATGAG